GTTATAATATTACCCTTAGGGTTAAGTAACAACCGAGTTCATAACTTGTAGGTGCACTCGTGCAACAATCACTTCATACTCGCCAGTGTATTATTTACATCATCCGGACTTCATTGTTGACCTCGTTCGAATCTTATTGTGAAGTAAGATCGGATGATGCCACTCTATAATGAAGTCATGGCTGAAGACTGTTGACGTCGTTCGGCAATTGTTTTTTTCTGAAACGGCAGTTGTGATCAGTGCATTTTTATGAAGGGAGAGCTCAAAAAGATTAAGAAATAATGGGTAATCAAGAAATTATTACACTCGCATCTATGCAATATTGATTTCACGAAACTTGCGTAACAATTCATGTTATACCCTCGCTCTCACTCGGGAAATACAAGAATTCTTACACTTGTTTCGTAAAATCACACATGCTCGGATAATAATATCTATATATCAACATTGTGCACTCACTTAGCCCTTAGCTAAGGCCCTTAATTCTACAAGCTTGGTCACTGCTTCCCTCAGGTTTTGTGACGTCAACCAAAACCTCATGTTTTATCAATTACAGATAAACTGAAGAGCATGCAAGACAAGTTAAAGGCCAAATGTCTTCCCTCTTTTGAATATCCTTCTGATAAAATACCGCAAGGATTTGGCTTCAGGAAACTGGGAAATGTGTTCATGTTTTTCAAAACAGAATGATGTTTATTCAGACAGGCAAGGAGGTGAAGTATCAAAACCTATTTTGAATTCTAAGCAGGATGTTAATTTAGGCCTGGGGGATATGAAAAACAAACCAAGAAATGCAGAAGGTCTAATACACAGTTAGCTTCGTATTTGCTGTGCAATCAGAGTTTGGTGCAATCATACTATGCTCCAGCTGTGGCAGCGGCACCTGACATAACGTCCCCATGTACCTCATATTCCTCTTACAGGGAAAGCAATTACCAGTGTGAATAACAATGGCTCCTTGATACATACTTTCGATAACCCTGGATTATTAGATACAGAGTTGGCGGCAGCAGAGGGGCTGTAGGCTAGACTGGGAGAAATTGCCCCCAAGATCACACAAAGATAAAAACAAGATAATGATGTATATTGATTTTATCAGAGCCCAAATTGACATAAGTATCATAACTGCAAGCAATGCCAAGGAACAGGAATGACTGCCTAGCAGGGTTATTTAAAAACTTGGATTGTTCCATTGATCCGGGCAAGCAGCGAGGTCTTCTTGTCACGTGTGGTACTTTTTGAATTATTGATGTGATGAGACCATTAATTTGGATCCTATACTGCTTGATTGCTTTCTTCAAATTCGGTACAAAGTTTGATAGTTGCACAGAGCGTGGAGCTACTTGGAGCCAGCAGGGGGATGTCTGTTATTCCTGTAGACAAGTTTGCTCGTGAAGAAAACTAAATTTAGGAGAAGATTGATTTCTTCAGGCTTTTGGCGGTCAGGGCAGAGGAACAAATTTAGGCCAATCAATTTTTTCGTTTCACTCCCTCAATGGTTCTCGATAAATCACTTTCATGTCCAAGGTGGGTCCTCAGCAGCCATTGCAGTTGTGTGGAGCAGGGCGGGAGATAGTGTTGATCACTTCACAGGAATAGGTTTATACAAGTAGTCTGTTATCACCATTCTTAATTAGGAAATGAAACAAGTGTCTGTAACATGGTATCAGTTTCACAGAATTTAGAGAGTGAAGTTGTATGTTAGGGCTGGGATGGATAACTCGGATACTCTGGTCGGATGGTTCCCTAACTTTTAAATGTTTGAGTCAAGACAAAGCTTTAGTCAACTTCAGTGTATGCACAATCAGATGTTTTTATGCTATATCAAAAACGCTTTTTGCCAGGGCTCTGGTAAAACAATTCCTAATTGAACATTTTGTACCCAACTTACGACCTACAGCAGGTACCCGGGTACGGCTGGGTAATAGAGGGTCAGTAACCCAGGTTGTAAATTTGTAGTCGTCCCAGCCCTATTGTATGTTATCTTAAAACTGCTTGTCTGTAACTGCGATAGGGTCAGTTGCATACTGTTTTGTCCTGCAGTCTGCAGAATATGAGAACATTTACAGTTGACTACTATTATCTAGTCAAACCATGCAAACTAGTGGTTGATAGCATGAGCAACACTCCACATTATGGGGGCTGGATGATGACACCATCAGCCAGATAGCACATTGTAACCACCCAGTCTAGTGTGAGGCATGGTGTTTCAATTTGGTAAACTAGTTCCACGACCCTTTAATATAAACCCCGGCCGGGTCATACCTAAAGACGTTAAAAGATGGTACCAGTACTTGTTCCCGTCTGGCACTCGACATTAAGGGGCTAAAACAAGGACTGGTCAGCTCGGAGTCAGTAATGTGTGTCTGAGTGGGGTACTCATGTTAAACTGCGGCATGGTATCTCAGTGGGCAAGCACGATAAATTCGGCATCAGTCCAGACTAGTACAAGCAGCCACACACACACGTGCATACGCGTTGCTAAGTGCAATAATCATGAACGCAACTATGAAATTCCATTTCAACTCACCTTTAATATAAACACTCGAGTAAAAAAATAATTTGAGCAGCAGTTTTGTTTATTGTTTATGTCACAACAATATACAATCTTCAATAGGATGTGCACATACAAAAGTACAAAGGCAAGAAAGTAGGTTTAGTAATGATGCTTTGTTTGTTTGCCTGTTTTGCGCTGCACTCAGAGAGAGTATGCAAGTTTATTGAGGTCTCACCTCTGTAGGGGCGGTCAGGTAGCCTTGTGGTTAAAGCGTTCGCTCGTCACGCCGAAGACCCAGGTTCGAATCCCGACATGGGTACAATGTGTGAAGCCCATTTCTGGTGTCCCCCGCTGTGATATTGCTGGAATATTGCTGAAAGGGGCGTAAAACCATACTCACTCACTCACACACCTCTGTACTACAGTATGAAATATAATACAAAATCACATGAACATGTCCAGGAGCCTTTCCGTGAGTTACGAGAGTCCATGACAAGCAAACACATCAACCACTGCACTACCGACTGCTAATCATAACAAGTGTTGCCTAAGCAGGGTTCAGACAGATATCCCACAATCGGCTTACAGTTGTAATTGTTCTGTAAGATGCTTGCCAGTAATCTGCAGGGGGAGTGTATGGAGAAGCACTTCCTCCCATTTTGTAATAAATAGTCGCAATAACAGAGCAAGTATCGGCGGCAAGGGCCACAGCCTCTTGAGCACCATGGAGATTGTTATTGGTTGAGTAAAGAAAGTGAGGTGGGCATTGATTGGGCCTGTCCCTGCTGCCCGGGCTGTCAAGATTGAAGGATTTGGTCGACCATGTGTACTGTAGACTCCAGCTCGGGATGTAACAGGGGACATTTTGTCATCATAACATCCCTTGTGTGGTCACCTAATTGGATAGCGCTGTTAACGGGATGAGAAATAATTGTGAATATTTCTATTTGCTGATTGGTATATTTGATGAAGATTCCCAAATCAAAGGTGATCTCCATGGCATTGATGATAGATGTGTAGAACGAGGTGGGAGACCCAGAGGTGGGGTGTAGGTTTCATGCAGGGCTTGAAATGTACGGAGACAGTTTTGTTATCCTTAGGAAATATAATGTGATTCAAATGTCTTGTTGTATACTTTTTTGGTAGAATGATACAAAGTGGTACACGATTCATAAGGCCAGTCAAATAGTTTTCTTTGGAAAGTAGATTCATTTTTTAAAATATTTTTCAACCCTAAATGCAGTTTTGTGTCTTTTGTGTAACTGACTGCAACATTTGCCATGTGAGGAAATCCCAAGTTAAGCAACCAAATATTCTTTGTAGTTAAAACAGTTAATCATAAAAATATTGTTGTATTGAAAATTATGCTAACTACTTAAAAGCAATTGGCTCTGACATTTAAGTCAATCTTATCACCTTTCTTTATGCCAGTTGTTTCTTGGCATGTAGACATAGAAAATCAGTTATATAAGAAATAAAATTGATCTTGCATTATAACAAAACCAATCAAAGGCAATGAATCAATGATGAACGTAGGTATGGTTATCAGGCAGAAACACAAGCCCTTTGACCTACACCCAGAAGTTTAGTCATTGAACAAAAACTCTCACCCAGTTCCGGAACAAAATAGGTCTCCAAGATGATGATTTGCTGGGCAATTGGTTTGACCTGGTTGATCGTGTGTCGTACCCTGACATAGGGGGCCATGGGTATTGCTATCAACAATGGTTTGTTATTTACAAGTCACCTTGATATATTGAATATTGCTGACATGACATTAACCGCTCTAGAACTACCGTTTGACGGGATCAACTATATATTTGTATTTCAGTCCTGACGAGTTTCTGCCCTGGTTGAACTGAGTAAATTATAGTTACCATATTCGACGTAATAAGCGCCAACGGCGATATTTGTTGATATATTGGCTAGCGAACAATCCCAGTTAGCACCCCTTCCGATTGATCAATGTACACAAGACTTATTTATTCGTGTATTATGCACACTCGAGTGTTTTATGCACCCTTAATTATGAGCAATTAAATTCTGGAAAAATATATCTGTCGTACATAAACATTTCAGGCTGTCACCATAAACCACGAAATTTATCTTTCAACTGTTTTTTTTTCACCAAATTAATATTCTAATAAGAACCCCCTATTTCTAATATTGAGAGCACCCTGGGCGCTTATTATGTCCAATACGGTAATACTTTAGTTTGATTAATTTGCTCAATCAAATAGCCTTGATATATTGAATATTGCTGACATGACATTTACCATTCTTGAACTACTGTTTGACGGGATGAACTATATATTTGTATTTCAGTCCTGATGAGTTTCTGCCCTGGCTGACCTGTGTAAATCATAATTAATACTTTGTTACTTTGATTAATTTGCTCAATCAAATAGCTTTTCAAGACATACATGTATATAAATAACAGATTTCAGTCTGGTGTACTTTGTATCAAGGTAACTGATAAGAATATTTTTTGGCAATGTTTCAGGAACTGTCCAAGATCACTATGCCTGTGATATTCAACGAGCCAATCAGCTTCATCCAGCGAATCTCCGAGTATATGGAGTACAGCTACCTCCTGGATGAGGCCAGTCGACAGGCCGACCCAGTCAAGCGGATGCAGGTACGACATTATAGGTCACTCTACAGGTCACTCCCATGTTAACATGTTAACAAGGGTATCTAACTTGATAGCAGGCACCATGTGGGGATTCAGGACACAGTGGATTCCAACTCCTAGGAATACACATGCACAGGCCTCCCCTTTATTTAGCCCCTTACTTTTTAGAAAGATGAGTGTATTTAAAGGGACAGGACGTTGACCATTCTGAAGCTTTGTTTGTAAACAGTAGCTGATAACCCCCCCCCATTTTAATCTGCTCTGCTCATTTTATTCCATTTCTGTCGGTGTACGCTTATCATGTGACCAGACTTTTCCCTTGTTTGTAAACAAACATACATACTCTGAAATAAGCACAGAAGGCCTAATGCTAGCCTTTCGGTGCGCTATACATATTGTTTTTCATAATTATATAGCTATACGACAACTACAACAGTGAGGTGCATGACAATATTGCTTTACACATCAATGTGGTCGTATCGCTAGCTCTCAGTAGGGCTTCGATGACAGGACGTGGAAGATAAGTATGAAAATGGAAATAGTTTTTCACGTTTTAGGATATTTTCTCAATGAAAGTTGAACATTTCATGAAGTATGTTAATCTAAATGAGTAGACTCGCCCAAAATGACACAGATACAAAACAGATGATTGGATGAATGGACTGTGTAAGATGTTACGATGTGACAGATAGGGCTGGGACGGGTAACACGGGTACCTGGGTCGGATGGCTACTGAGTAGGACCCGGGAGCCCACAGGACTACCCGGACCCGTGGTTAGTCACATGATATAGTGTTTAATAAAAATTATCTAGAACTCTATGGTTACACTTAAGTCACTAATGTTCGCATTTCTTTCTGACTATGCACCCATTCCTTGATACAACTTAATTCAACTTCAGTGTATGAATGACCAGATTGTTAAATACATGTATCTACTTACGTTTTGCCAGGGCTATGCTAAAAATGTTCCCAATCAATATTTTGAGACATCTCCTGAGACCTACAGTAGGTCGGGTAATAGGGTGGTGGGTACCTGGGTAGTAAATTTGGACTCGTCCCAGCCCTAGTGACAGAGGTAATCAGCTGGCCGCAAGGAACTCTGGGTAGGAGAGTGATTGGCTTCATATGACCGAGGCATATTTATAGTGTAATCAAGTCTTTGATAAAGACTGGCTTCTAAACTTATCAAGCTGGCAATTAGCTTTTGGAACTCATCTGTTAGAAAAACACGAGTTCAGTTTCCTTCCATTAAAAAACAAGACTGAAGTCAGTTTACTTTGCACGGTGCTTCACTGTGTGGAGCGCTATTTGTTTTGAGAATTGAATCTGGCATGTGACGTCACACGAGTAAATTATTTCATGTATGAGTTTGAAACACACAGAACCATCAACATACTGTCCCTTTAATCTATGGACTTAGATCAAATGAATATTTGTGTGGCTGTATATGTTCAAAATATGTAAGAGCATGTTAATGCATGGCAAATGTGAACAAGTTCCATACCCAAACATACTTCACCGAATGTTAAATTGTGCATACATTAGGTTACCCAGCAAGACAGTACCAGTAGGTCACAGGTTACAATGGTTTACGGGAGACAAGCTTAACTAACACATCACAAGTAGCAACATCTTCTGATAACCTTTCAGAAGAACAAATAAGATAATATAATCTGAAATGTATTAATATTTTTGTCCCTTCTGTTCAGGATTTTTCAGACAAAATCTATAGCTTTAACATTCTGGCTTTACTGCCACATATATATTCCAACTTATCTGCACCTTGTACCTATGGAATTGAGAAATGAGTTTATGATATATGTTATCCTATTTTAATGGTTTAATGATTAAAGTATTTTTGAGATTGTGTTGAATGAACATTAACAATTTATGACAAAAGGATTCCAAATGTGTTCTTGCAGAAAAACTCTGTGTGATACCATTTTCATCACTTTTGAAGTGTTGATATACAAAGATTTAAGATGCATCAATAGGTCTCAGGTAACTCGTTACCTTTAACAAACAGCTGTTAGAAACAAATTGTGTATTATATGGATCAGCTATTGACTCGCTCAGATCGTTTGGGCTTACATATATGTAAATTTATCTTTACAGTATGTAGCAGCTTTTGCGGTGTCAGCAATTTCTTCCAACTGGGAAAGAATAGGAAAACCCTTCAACCCTTTGTTAGGGGAAACGTATGAGTTGGAACGGTGAGATTAGCTTCTTGTAATGGCATTATGTTTTCAAATAACTCACCATCATAAAACACAACACATCCAGGATATCCAGTTTGTAGCAGTGGTTGGTTGGTTGGTTTATTGTTTAACGCTGCACTCAGCAATATTCTAGCTATATGAAGCTCATGTCACGTTGACAGTCCATCGTAATACATTTACATCAAGTACAAGACATCAAAATGGTTGACCTGATAAACATGATGGGAGAGGTTTCTGCAGTTGTTAATGAACCTCTGGCGGTTACAAGTGTTTGTCATCATTGATCAATTGGCTGATCATTGAAAGGAGATGTGTCAAAAAGATACTAAGGTAAATTCACAGATTGCTGTAGACTGGCACTGTAGTCTAGACACAGATCGGGTACTGATGAGCATTTCTTCATTTTGTTCACTATGGGTGGTCGTAGCAAGGATATTCATGAATAGGCATGTAATCAAACTCACTGAATCTTCCAATTGTATACTAAAACAAGTTTAAGATTCAAGGGTCTAAATGATCCGAAACAACACTTCTGTATTTGTACATGCTAGGGAATTCTCACGGGTTTCCCCAGGAATGTGGAAGTAGTCCGTCGGTGTTTACATCCTTTCAGGAATTCAATCTCGTACAAAACGTATAAAAGTCAAAATGTCATCTTCATACACTTATGAAATTCAGTTTTGTGGTCATGTGCCCGCCCTTGTCCAATGAAAGATCTGTATGTCATGTAAACTTCACATTAAATAATTGTACACTAATGCCTGTGTATTTCCTCCAGACCTGACCTGGGGTACAAGCTGGTCGGGGAGCAAGTCAGCCACCACCCTCCTGTCAGCGCCATCCACGTCACCTCCCCTAAGTATACCTTCCACGGATCCATCAACCCCAAACTCAAGTTCTGGGGCAAGTCAGTTGAGATCAACCCCAAGGGGACTATCACATTAGAATTAAAAGAGTAAGTATCCTTTTTGTGAAGTGTGAGCAAATGTTTGCGTTCCGTCAGCAATATCAAAGCTAATTAATGGGAGTCTGTTAATAGTGGATTCTGGGACAGGAAACCAAGGAATGATTCAAAACATTGGGACACTGTTGGGCCTCTGACAGCGAGAAAAAGCTGGTCCGGACTCAAGTAACCGATTTCGACAAAAGTTTGCCTTACTATCAACATTTTTGTCTTTTCTTTTCCTCAGCATCATCTAAGTCAAAATGCAAACCATATTGATCACTTGTGTGTCTCTCAGAGTATATGTTGTATTATAATAACAGAAGGTGATTTGTTTGTTTGTTGTTTAACGCCACACTCAGCAATATTCCAGCTATATAATGTCAGTCTGTAAATAATCGAGTCTGGACCAGACAATCCAGTAATTGATATCATGAACATCGATCTACGCAATTGGCATACGATAACATGCATCAACCAAGTCAGCGAGCCTGACTACCCAATCCCTTTAGTCGCCTCTTACGACAAGCATGGTCACCTTTTATGGCAAACATTGGTGACTGAAGACCTATTCTACCCCAAATCTTCAATAACAAAAGGTGAAATTATGACATTTGGACCCATTGTTGTGTGAAAGAGCTGTATGAAAACATATACTTATTCCCAACTGAATATGATGATGCACTGGGGTAAAACCAAATGATGAGGTTGAACTAAACGTTTACATAAGGTATGTGGATAATCACTGCTTGGTCCGGGAGAGTTTTCCAGGAAGATTATCTCCCCTTGACCATATTACTGTTTCAGGTATGATCCGAAATACATGATTTTTTACACTCACTGTTTTCCTTGCAGACACAACGAGGTGTATACATGGCAGAATGTCAACTGTTGTGTACACAACATCATTGTCGGCAAACTCTGGGTTGAACATGTGAGTATCACAACATGCAAACTTTGTTGGAGGCAGTGGTGAAGGCTTCGGCAGGAGTGTTGGTCCACAGACTATGTTAACCTTTACTGACCTGGACCTTGATAACGTTTTCCAAGTCATCTTTGACAGTTTCATACAACTCTAGATCACATGGACCTATTGTCGGAGGACTGACTACCTGATGTGTTTTACCCTAAGGCACCAGGATCTGCTGATTTACACAGATCATGATGTATCAGCACCCTACCTGTTTGGTTGATTTCAAGGTTGTGACCTGCGTCACTTCTGGCTTTCTTCACCAATGCTGTGGGGCGGTCGGGTAGCCTAGTGGTTAAAGCGTTCACTCATCACGCCAAAGACCCGGGTTCAATTCCCGACATGGGTACAATGTGTGAAGCCAATTTCTGGTGTTCCCCGCCGTGATATTGCTGGAATATTGCTAAAAATGGCGTAAAACCATACTCACTCACTCACTCAATCAACAATGCAGTAAGGCTGATTGCAATGATGTGACTGAAATACTTCAGGGATTCATCTAGACCTGCTCAGAGGCTGACATCTGGCCCCAAGTATGAAGCAATTGTCAGTCAATGTCCTCAAATTGGAATTAAGACCTTTCCAATTCATGTTATATATACAGCACATTGTGCTTTTGCCTCTAAATTTTAAAAAAAGGCCCACATTTTCAAAGACAATGGTGCATTTTAACATTGTGCTGTATGGGCAAGTGTGCGTGTAATTTTGAGATAAAGGGCCCATGTCAGAAAATTCCTTGAGAGAACCCTGTATGTAGTTATACAATGTATCTCTATTCGCTAGTTATGTTCTTATGGTTGTAGCTAATGTTGTGGTTTCACAGAGGTGACTTGCATTTCACTGATAACAGGATCAATAAACAAGAAGAGGCTGCAATACCCCTGCCTTTTGAGAAACCCCAATTTTGAACAATATTCTGTTGTTGTTTTTCTCAATTTGTCTGCCAAGGGCTCTTAGTTAAGAATGCTAGAGTTGTGGGCCCCATCCCACAAAGCAATCGTAGCACAACGACAGTCAGGAGTCTATGCTAATGTATGGAAGTTATGATCACCTTAGCGATACGATTGCTTTGTAGAACAGACTCCAGTACTGGAAATACTGTGGTAGGAGGTTCCAGGGAGGAAGTAGGTGTACACTGTCCTCATCTTACTCTGTCTCTGTTTCCAGTATGGGACAATGGAAGTTACGAACCACTCCACGAAACACAAGGCTGTCCTCAACTTCAAACAGGGAGGCTGGTTCGGAAAAGATCTCCATAAAGTAGAAGGTTTTATATATGACTCCAGGTGAGCAGATTAACCCACTGTTGAATAACGGGCCTGTACCTAGGCATGTCTCTGACTGGCAGTGTTCGAAATAGCTGTCTGCTCACTAACCAAATGCCAGTGACTTTTAAATGGGCTAGTAACATTTCTGTAAAGCCGGTCCTCGTTGAAAACTCTAGTCAGTACATATTTATTTCTACAAAATAATAAGTCAGTTAAGGCGTCATATAATGTCAAAGTCTGTTTTCATTTTGTTTTCATTGTATTTTCTGTTAACAAGCCCTCCTGGCCAGTGAACTTTGGAGACTAATTCCTGCAGTGCTGACTGTATAAGCAATGTCCCATGCTGTCAGGGTGGATATGATGACATGCAGTCGACCAACTCACTGAACTTGACCACACAATCCATTAAGTCCTGTCCTATGACAAGCAAAGGTTGCCAACCCGGAATCCCCATGAGGATGTCTGAACGAGTGTCAGTTGAATATGTTATTGTAAGTGTAAGAATACTTGAATATTACACAGACCTGTTGTCACCTGACTGTTTCAGTAAGCGGAAATGTAAAGCGATGTACGGGAACTGGGTGCTAGGGATGTACTCCTGTGAGGCAGACACCTACGAGTCCTTCATCAAAAACACATCCTCCAACTCATCTCCCAGCCATAATGCATATCCAAAGGTGAGTTCCATCGCAAAGTTCACATTGGTCTCAATAGGCCTTGTGGGGCGGTCAGGTAGCCTAGTGGTTAAAGCATTCGCTCGTCACGCCGAAGACCCGGGCTCGATTCTCGACATGGGTACAATGTGTGATGCCCATTTCTGGTGTCCCCAGCCGTGATATTGCTGGAATATTGCTAAAAGTGGCGTAAAACCGTACTCAATCACTCAAATGGCCCTGCATTTGGAAGTTTAGGCCTTTTTTTATACCATCAACGGTACAGATCACATGGACAATAAGAGTAATCCAAGGGATTTTGATCTGACTAATGATAAATTATCATTACAAGTCAGACTTTAGATTTATACTATTTGTGAGGTCACAAGACAGGCAAAGATTGTCATTTTTTATGACCTACCAATCCGGTCTTTGAGTTGATTAAAATAAATCCTGTACAGTGCTTTTTATTTTGTTTTTTTAACCTACAGGACAAAGTATCACTATCAAACTTCTTAAACCCTATAATGAAATATCCTGCCTTATTACAGTTATTTTCTACAAATGCTGCATGATGACATCAGGTAGAAAGAAATAAGTCCATAACTCAGTCGATTTTATAATGTTATAACACTGGACTGTGCACATTTGAAAAGTATAATTGCAGGAATATTCTGACACTGAAATAAAGTAAGAAGGATCTAATAAATTAGTTTGAAACACACCTGGGTCTCACAAAGGCAGTGGCACAAGTTTTATGGAATCCATGCATCGTAACCCAGTAGATACCTATTGACTGAATGGTCATGCATCCCTGGTAGTAGATCATCACATTTATGAGAGACCATTAATACCATATGAATATGCATGTACACTTTGCTTCCCGTGCTACGATGCTCCTGTGGAAAGCATGTAGGCCTCCAGTGCATAATTGAATTAAAGTTTGGTCATGGCATGACAGATTAACTATGGTAATATGAAAAAATGGGTGTTCTTTAATAACTTCTTTTGAGTAGAATATTATCACAATACAAATTAAAGTTTAGTGTGTGTGGAACAGTCATTCAAAGCAGCACTATTAGAAGAAAGAGAATTAACTATTCATTTTCTTTTTACCATCAATCAGTATTGATTCTGTTTTGGGATAAGGTTTTATTATAAAAACTTTCCAGACGTGTCAAACATAAGATGCTTAATTCCTGCCTGTGTTGACTTCCAAGGGAGATAACTTTGTCAATCTGTTTCCACTGTTCTTCCATTCATCGCAGTTCAGATAGATCAGGAGAAAAGGAAGATTAATATGAGCACAATCAATCTTGCTTGCACTATTCTAGATGCTTAATCTGTCTATTCAGGCAAATGGTGCATCGTCATCGAAGGGTGCAGGTGATGATGTAGCAGACGACATTCCCAGCAAAAACTTCCAGCCATACGATCTGGGTCTGCCTGGTCAGCTGACCTTGTGGAGAGCCAATCCCAGGCCAGAGGATTCTCATAAGGTTAGCATGAGGAGTCAGAACAGGCAATAATAAAACATGACTACAACAGGACCTAAACAAATGTGCACCATTTGAACATTAACATTTGGGGGTGTCTGTTACGTCACGGTGGCCCAGTTGTCTAAGGCGCCGCGATTTCCCTGTGCAGACTTGCATCTCTTTGGCACGCCAGAAACCTATGATTGTGGGTTCAAATCCCGGTTTGCCCCGATAATTCTAGGTTTGTCAGCACTATACCTGTGCTCATGGTTTTCACCGAAAGTGGTAATCGTCCGAGACCTGCATCACTTTGGGCTTTCATCCCACATTAAGCGGACACGCCTTGATATAACTGGAAGAATGTTAAAAGCGGCGTGAAACCCAACTCACTCAATGTTACCTCACTGATAGGAATTGAAAACATGCACAAGTATGCTTATGGTAAAGGTGTGCCTGGAGCTGATTCTGATCACAGCCTGATGTGTATCTTGGTTTGTCAGCACCATGCACATGGTCAAAGACCTACATCACTTCAGCATTCGTCCCAGCTCACACACTCACTTTGTTAATTACCGATCCTGTAAACACTCTAAGTGACTAAGTGTACAGGTATCTATCACTAACTGTGGACAACTAAACAGACAGCATTCAAATGTAATGAGTTGGTGAAAGAAAGCATATGCCCTGACTTGACACTATGTATGTTGTGTTTGCAGTATTTCTGTTTCACGTCGTTCTCCATGGGGCTGAACGAGCTGCGGGAGGGGATGCAGGACCAACTCCCACCCACAGACTCCCGACTCAGGCCCGACATGAAGCTGATGGAGGATGGCAATATTGGTGAGACTCGGCCACAGTGAAAATGTTGTTTGGACCACAAGATAGTTCATTTCTTTGTGGTTGGGTTTGGTTTGTTGTTTTACGCCGCACTCAGCAATATTCCAGCTATATGACGGCAGTCTGTAAATCATTGAGTCTGGACCAGACAATTCAGTGATTGATATCATGGGCATCGATCCACGCAATTGGGATCAATGACATGCTTCAACCAAGTCAGCGAGCCTGACCACCCAATCCTGTTAGTCGCCTCTTATGAAATGCATAGTTGCCTTTTACGGCAAGCAGGAGTTGCTGAAGTTCTTTATGGTAAAACAGTGAGTAAAACTCCATCTCCCTAAGGCAAGGGAGATAAGTGACTGTAACAGTCTAGTTTCCACCCTGACCGTACAAGGCAGCAATTATGGAGTTACATTTTGGCTTGACTAACAAGTCTATGCGTGCTCCAGTGAAAATCGCATAACAAAATCAACAACCGGTTCATAAACTGCCATGCAGATATTGGTCGATTGTAGGATTTGCAAAGCATATATATATATACCGCCAACTCAGCATCAACAGATATTTCCCAAATCTTTTCATCTTTTTAATCAAGGTGCTCACGTGATTTGATGCACTTCTCCCAGTAACACTTGTTTTATTACAATAAATATCTTGATCATCGAGCCGATCGTTTTGTTTGAAGCAAATGCAAGTGATATGAGAGGTTGAATCTGATTGGTCAATAGGAGGGACATAAAAGGAACATAACTTGTAATAGCCAGTGGTGGCGCAACGATCCAGCCCAGAAATTCCAGCCTAGTTAAGAAAGGGTTGAAACTGGACTTTTAGAGTCAGTTAACTCCCTTGCCTCGGGAAGGTGTACTGAATCATTTTAGAAAGCTGAACTCAGATAGCCTCAAAACCTCCTTCATTTTGATTGTATTTTCAAAGATCTCTCTGGGTTCTCCTGAAGTAATCTATTGAGGATTTGTCAGATCTTTAATGAGAGAGTATCGAATCGGAATGAAAGTTCTGATGACAGTGAGACTGTGTTAGGAGAAGCCATTATATTGCTGTACGCAGGAAGGTCATACTGTATTGCTCTGTCCTGCCTTCAGATGCAGCAGCTCTGGAGAAAAATCGCCTGGAGGAGAAGCAGAGAGCCGCCAGAAAGGACAGGAAGAAAACAAAGAAAGAATGGACACCACTGTGAGTGACTGAAGTCGTGTGTGGTTATAACATGGTATCACATTAGGCTTAAAAAAATAAAAATATTGGTTCTTGGGCAATAGTTTTTGAAAATAAAGTGCGGCGGGCGGTCTTTTTTGTTATTTTTGGTTGCTCAAACTAGCATGTAACCAAATATGCAGTTGTGTAAATCAACCTGGGAAAGGCCCTCCCTACATAAATGCATTCCTTGATGAGTAAAATACTGGACTACAGTATTGGTCTTGGAATATTAAGAATTTTTTTGTTTTTTTAAAAATGGAAATAAAAACGAAACGTCCAGCAAACTTTATGATGATGCAGGCTGTGCCTTACATTTTTCACTTATCCTGCATAACATATTGCACTTTTGCTCTTTCTCCCGAAGTCCTAACTGGAAATGAATCTGTCATGAATCTGAATCTGGAAACGATCTGTCAGCGTCTTCAGTAACTCTGTTGCGAAACTTGACCTCCATGACCCTCGTGACATCTGTGAGCAGTGTGCAATGTAATGCAGGATCAGTGTATAAAACAAACATAATACATGTACTCTGATTATGGAAAATAGTTGTAGCAAAATAACTGTAATATTTACATTTGTCATAGCCAAACAATTGTACTGTGTACTTTTATTTTATATTGTCATGGCACTGAGATTATTATTCCGGAACAACGCCGTGATATTGCTGGAATATTGCTAAAAGCGGCGTAAAACCATATTCACTCACTCACTATTGCGGAACAAGACTTCAAGCTGACAATCCTCCATGGAATCAGGAAAGATCTGGGTTATTCCTGAGAACTGATTAAATCTGACATCCCCAGATCCTGAGACTTCTGATGACATGGTGTCAGCAGTTGACCGCAGATTGTACCATCTTCCCGAGGCAAGAGCGTCCACTAGCTTTTTCATCAAAATCTTGTTTCCACCCTTGCCACATCAAGCCGACTTTCCTGTGCTAAATATGATTGGACTATCACACATATCAATAGTCCAATCAGAGAACGTTTCACAAGATCCACAACTGGTAAACCTTCGTATGAAAGTGATTTAACGCTGCCTGTCTTTGTTGACACATCTTTTTCATCTTTCAAACCCCCCAACGATTGCCTAGTATGTGTTTGTGTTGGATGAAATCGTAATTGTTTTCGACTAGGTCGTCGCCTATGGCCATTTTTGTGAAGCTATATGTGATAAGAACAGAGATCTGATTGGAGATCACCTTTCCATTACAAGGGACACAACTCGTGATCAACGCGAGGTTGCGCCAGGGTTGAGCCAAGAAAAGTGGCCTTGATGTGGCAGGGGTTTAAACTAGGCTTTGATACAGGACACACTTGCCTTGGGAAGATGATATTATATATCCATTAGTAAATGTCTGCTGTTTTTCTCCAGATGGTTTGAGTACACAACCAATCCAGCCACAGGCAAGGAAGACTGGATGTTCAAGGGAGACTACTGGCGAAGGGAGTGGACAGCATGTGCAGATATATTCTGATTCCTCCTCCCAGCTAGGACCTAGGTGTACATAGAAGACTTCCACTAGAATATGCAATAGTTGTATATAGACTACAGTCCTGTAGACCACCAGCCTTGTGATGATGATGATGATGATGATGATGATGATGATATGCAAATGTGGACTGTTTTATCATTGCTGGCAAACTGTGTTGGTCTGTGATTGGATGATTTGTTCACATGTGAATTTTGATTGGATGATTCAACAGAGGATCAATTGATATGGAATCTGATCTGATTGGTTGATTTTTTTCACAGAATGTGATTGGTTATATGAGATGGTTATTGGTTGTTTAAATTTCCTCTGGTCTGTGATTGGATGACGTGAAGCCATTGTTGGTTATGAAAACACACAAAACTGAAATGATACCGATTTGGACACACAAGGTCTCGATTGTCATACCAAGCCAAAAGATCTGGGCGTTTTTGAAGAAACTTAGGGTGACATTCGGTGAACAACAACAGCAGTAAGATCTTTTTATACGGATGGTGTATGATATTTTTTCAAGTTGACAATTGGAAGGAAAATTTGTGAAATGACGCATGGATGAAGCAAATATCATCATATGAAATATCATTACACCAGTTACATTGGACAGACTTCAAAACCAAGACCAAACATGTGCATATAAAGTCTGAAATGGAAACCCACTATTATATACCATGATATATCATTGGCTTATCAGGTATTGGCTAATGGATGAAGACAGCTATAAGTATCCTGTATGAATGTTCTTCTGTGAATGGTTTATATGGTGTGGATGGTGTAGAGCAATGAAAGCCCTGCCTGTCCTGTCTTGGTTATAAAACACATTTGTAAAGAAATACATATTCAGGGATGAGGGAATTAACCTACAAAGTCTATTAGCCACAGTTTTCATTAAATATGATCAAACACCCCAAATGGTTTATAACTTCTTTTCGCCCATCAAGATACCTTATGCAGTAGGGAATCTTTATATTGTGTTTGAAAATGTGTGAAAGTCAAGGGAACATGACCCGAATGTGAATGGTTAAACATTTTGGGGCCTCTAGATTCAGATAATATAGGAGCAAAGGACCCAACAACTGTATGGACTTGTGATAATCGTAGCACTGTTGGGACTTGCGATGACTGTAGCATTCGAGGGACTTGTGATGATTGTAGCACTCTAGGGACTTGCGATGACTGTAGCACTGTATGGACTTGCGATGATTGTAGCACTCTAGGGACTTGCGATGATTGCAGCACTCTAGGGACTTGTGATGATTGTAGCACTCTAGGGACTTGCGATGATTGTAGCACTGTATGGACTTGTGATGATTGTAGCACTCTAGGGACTTGCGATGATTGTAGCACTGTATGGACTTGTGATGATTGTAGCACTCTAGGGACTTGCGATGATCATAGCACGTTCGTGACTCACAATTATCATAGCACTGTAGGATCTTACGATAAATGTAACACTGTAGAGACTTACAATGATGTTAGTACTGTTGGGACTTACGATGATGTTAGTACTGTTGGGACTTACGATGATGTTAAGACTTGCGATGATTGTAGCATTGTGATGTCATCATGGAGAGAGGGAAAGGTAGAACTGAAACAATTGAAAATGATAATGATTGTTACATGACTTTGTATGGATGGTTGGTGTATAGGTGTTTAGAAATGTTACATTGAAATAATACAAGAAGCTTATAATCACAGATGAAGCTACCCTAATGTAATTTTTGAATAATACATGACCTTAAGTAATCAGAATATATACAGGTCAGTAGACTTGACAGAAGAGCAGCTAGAATACATTCATGGCTACACCCTGGCAGTACATCTACCCTGATAGTACACCCTGGCAGTATATCTACCCTGATAGAACACCCTGGCAGTACATCTACCCTGATAGTACACCCTGGCAGTACATTTACCCTGGCAGTACATCTACCCTGATAGTACACCCTGGCAGTGAAGCTACCCTGGAAGTACATCTACTCTGATAGTACACCCTGGCAGTACATCTACCCTGGCAGTACATCTACCCTGATAGTACACCCTGGCAGTACATCTTCCTGATAGAACACCATGGCAGTACAGCTAACCAGATAGTACACCCTGGCAGTACATCTACCCTGGCAGTACATCTACCCTGATAGTACACCCTGGCAGTGAAGCTACCCTGGAAGTACATCTACTCTGATAGTACACCCTGGCAGTACATCTACCCTGGCAGTACATCTACCCTGATAGTACACCCTGGCAGTACATCTTCCTGATAGAACACCATGGCAGTACAGCTAACCAGATAGTACACCCTGGCAGTACATCTACCCTGGCAGTACACCCTGGCAGTTAAGCTACCCTGGAAGTACATCTACTCTGATAGTACACCCTGGCAGTGCATCTACCCTGGAAGTACATCTACCCTGATAGTACACCCTGGCAGTACATCTACCCTGGAAGTACATCTACCCTGATAGTACACCCTGGCAGTACATCTACCCTGGAAGTACATCTACCCTGATAGTACACCCTCATCTACCCTGATAGTACACCCTGGCAGTACATTTACCCCGGAAGTACATCTACCCTGATAGAACACCCTGGAAGTACATTTACCCCGGAAGTACATCTACCCTGATAGACAACCCTGGAAGTACATCTTCCTGATAGAACACCCTGGCAGTACAGCTAACCAGATAGTACACCCTGGCAGTACATCTTCCTGACAGTACATATTGATCAAATGCTGTCCAAAACATTCCTACTATTTTGATAAATCACCCAGTAACCATGGTTACACTTTTCTCTTCCCTTCACCCTGCTTCGTGTACACCTAGGGCTGCACCCACGTCCCATCACACCTGGTCATGTACACTTCTTGTATGTTGATATGCAATTTAGTCACAGCTGTGTCTGTTGTTTTCGAAAAGCATCGAAATAGTTAGACTAGCTCATACCTCTCCTCAGATAACCTGGCTGTGCACTGCATTTCAATCGTTCAACACACAGGAACAGCTGGACTTGACTGTACTTGGTCCTAGGCCCTCATCCTCAAAGCAATCTTAGTTCTCCAGCGATCATAAGCCTGTGTTAAGTACGGGTGTAAAGATGAGGGTTATTGATGAGCATATTATAGCCTGTATGTGTGAGGATGGGTAAGGTGTCATATACATATCAGTCGTTGATGTTGTTTGGTATTATGGGTATGACCGTCAAAACCAGTCGCATAATCATTGCAGTATGAAAGGGGTTGTATCTCATTATATTTTGTAAGAAAAGTTCTCCGGATCCTCTTTTGATACTGATGAGGAATCAATCCTTACTGGTTTGTCAAAACTTGTACAATTCAGCTTATTTTTACAGAGGCACGTGTTTGTGGTTTGATACTTTTGATTGACCTATCAGGGTTGGTTTTTAAAGTCACGGGAAAAAAGCATAATTCCAGCAATATCACTGCATGGGACACTTCTCGTGTTACCCATGTGAGGAATCAAACACAGATCTTATAGGGTGAGATGAGCCAACACTTTTACCACTAGGCCACCTCACCACCCTTAGTCATGGTTGAAGACTGAAAAAAACAACAGAAAATGATATTTCTTTCTGATGTGAATTTGTAAAATGTCATTGAAATGCCATGCCATTCATTATCAGGTGTAGAGTACCAAATGAGGAGATGCTCCCTTCTATACCTCAACACTAGGATTTGTTTGTTTGTTTGTTTGTTTGTTTGTTTGTTTGTTTGACGTCACACTCAGGAATAGTCCAGCTATACTCCGCAGCCTGAAGATTATCAAGTCTGGACATGAGAAACAATGGTTGATATTTTGAGCAACGTGTTACATGATTTGAGTACAATGACTCACAATCTACTAAGTCAAAGAACCAGACGAACTGGTCCATTAAGGAACCTGGTATTGTGTGTGTGACCAATTCTAACACAGATTCCCCAGAGGGGTCTAGACTCGGGGAAGTAGGGGAGCCTCGTAGTTAAGATTGTTGGCTTGGTATTCTAAAGATCTGATTTGATTTCTCACAATCTCTGCTCAGTCACCTCTCAACTGCACAAGCTTGGTCCATGTATATATTTATGAGAGGCAATGGGAAATCAGATGATATAGCATTATCAGGGGCTTCGTGTGGAACTTGAGTGAATGAAGTGCGCAACACACTGTTTTATATGTCCACATGTGTGATGGAAGATGTGTCACATGGTAGATGTGTTACACTTCGGCCTGTGACAAGATGAACTTCATAGTTTTTAAGTGCCAGCAAATATGGGACAGCTAGTTCAAGTGTGGGAGAGTTGCAACACCTTCCTAGAACACATAGAACAGCAAGAGATGAGATAACAGCTGAAATGTGGAGGAGAGTTGAGCCACAGCTGATCACCTAGTTGTTGTAGTTCTCATGGATGTTCTTAAAGCTATGGCAGACTAGATATCTGATGAGGTTGCCTCCTTATTAAGTTAGATCTAACATATAGGAAGCAGATGAATCGTGAATGCAGTCAGGGTGTAGATATGTTACCATGTCAGACTACATGTTTATGTAAAAATTGAGATTCAGGTTTACCTGCTAACTATGTCGGTACACTATGTGTCGAGAACATTATCTGTTGCAGTATGGGAAATGTCATTAACTAACTAGGGATGACTCTTGTTCCTCTTGCCCAGAGAAATGGCTGCCAAACATCTATAAAAACCTGCTCATTTGTTCTTGAACTTACCTTTCATGTTTTTTTTGCAAACTCTTGAGCACAACATAATGCTGACAGGGGACTCCAAAATTTGGCACTGTTTAGACTTGACATTCACCAATTTGGCACTAACTATCCATGAGTTATCAGGATAGATAAAATTTGGGCATTGTTTTCAGAATCCTGGTAGTGCAAGGGAGGAAAGGTGAAACATTTGTGGATGTAATTGATATTTACATGATATCAAACTACGAAACACAACATTATTGATTACAGTGTTTAAAACATGCACTCCATAACAGGAAATACTATTAAGATTGTCAGTCACTTTGCCTATCAACTAATTATTGGAGCTGTTTTAGTTTCATAGATGTTTGAATGAAGTTAGTTTTCTACCACTCTATCCCGGACAGTCGTATATTGTTTCAATAATCTCGACCCTTTGTCAGTGTTCTAAGTACGCTTGTTATGGGGCTGCTTCAAAGTCTTGCATTTATGTAGCAGAGATGTGCAAAGATCAAGAGAAGTTAACTTCTTATCTTCTTGCAGATTTGTTGTCAACTAATGTAGATTCTTGTAAATTAGGCTATAGCGATCTCATTAAAGTCAGATATTGTGGTCCAATTTGATACCTCTGTGTCAACATTTGAAAAATCCACCATAGGAGTCATGTGGGGTCATTGGGATTTTCTAAATTCTTGGTACTATCGAAGGAAGCATATATAACTTCTGGATCCTAACAGGCAGTTCCAAATGGTGAATAATGATGGCTATATTGTCCCATATCCCATATATATTGTCATTCACACAAGATGGTTTTGCCTCAAAAACACATGTATCCTTCATGTTGATTGGAAGGCCAATTTCTCTAAGACGACCTACTATTACAACAAGTATCATCTGTAAAATGCCTGAATTGGGGGAGATTGTTACCTATGGTATTGAAGGATGGTACACAGAAGCCCACAACTTTAAGCTAGAGCTGTTTTAAGTTTGGTCTTTTCTGTCTTTTCAGAAATTTTAAAACTTTTTTTTGTATCCAAATGAATGAAAACCAGAATATGTTAACATGGCTTTTGAATCTCTGAATGTCAAACTTATGTCCAACTGAAATAAAGCTACAGAACACCTGATTCTTTCATATGACCATAATTAATCTGTCATGACAGTTAACAATAGTAATAGGATTGAATCGATGCTCATGTTGTTAATCACTGGATTGTCTGGTCCAGATTCGACTATTTACAGACCGCCGTCATATAGCTGGAATATTGCTGAGTGTGGCATTAAACAACAAACAAACTGTAGCCAAGACATTCTGTTAGTCAGTGTAAATGTAAGCAGCAGTCTCCCCTTTGTCCCCTGATGCGAAGAGGTGAAGTAAAAATAAGTGCTACATGTTGCGTCCATGTGTTTCATGGGGAATGTATTGTTATCTCATGTTGCGTTAATAACGCAAAACACAAATGTTTCTGTGATTGATTTTCATGTTGTGCATAGAAGTATTCTTGTGAGAGCCTGTCAGGTTTGTGTATGCATGTGTATTTTCCACATGGAATCAAATATTGTACATAGGAGTGAATGTGACCAGTGACTGTACCATGAGTTGCAGGTGATATGACACTATTTATCCTGGGTATTAGCATTGTGTGTACTTGATGTGCATTCCATATATGGCAAATAGCAATGTCACATGATACCACTGCCATGACACATGTGATAAGTATCATTGTGATAGAGAACATTTTCACTGTGCAGTTTCTTGATTAAGAAATATGATTAATGAATTCAACATTAAAACTTTGAATTGTCAATTCAGGCAAATAGAATCAAATTTGGTCTCTGTGTAGTCCTTAAGGTATGCATAATTTTGGAAAACTTCTTAAAGCCAGTTGTTATGTATCTACTCTTGGGCTACTTCCAAGAGTCTAGTTACTTGTCATGTTGTAAACCCAATATATTCTATTGTTACTGCCTATGAAATAGAGGTTTAGTTTATGTAATGTGGAATAGATATTTCACTGTGTGTTTTTGTTTCGTTTTGCAAAACAGTATGATTGCCCCGAAATCATTGTATGATATCAATATATAATGTCATGTTGATGTAGTGTATCAACACCTGTCATGCTCTATATTTAGGGTTGATGGGGAGAAGAACAGGCTTGGTTCAACATGTTTCAATATTGTTGGACTCTGGTACAATGTTTTGTGTTACTTCTTGACCTTGACAGTGACCCTGGCACAATGTTCTGTGTTACTTTCTGACCTTGACACTGACCCTGGCACAATGTTTTGTGTTACTTCCTGACCTTGACACTGACCCTGGCACAATGTTTTGTGTTACTTCCTGACCTTGACACTGACCCTGGCACAGTGTTTTGTGTTACTTCTTGACCTTGACACTGACCCCGGCACAATGTTTTGTGTTACTTCCTGACCTTGACACTGACCCTGGCACAGTGTTTTGTGTTTCTTCTTGACCTTGACACTGACCCTGGCACAGTGTTTTGTGTTACTTCTTGACCGTGACACTGACTCCGGCACAATGTTTTGTGTTACTTCTTGACCTTGACACTGACCCGGGAAAATGCTTTGTTACTTCTTGACTTTGACAGTGAGCATAAATATATTACGGTCTTCATGTGTGACATCAGCCATCTTGAGTATGTCCTCAATGCCAACTGGAAAGTTAAACACACTGATCCTTAATATATTTGTACTTAAAAGGACACAGATATTGGAAATTAGGCAGCTCTAATGTTTGAAACTGTGATCAAAAACAATTGTTTGAAAAACAGGTCTTAAATGTAACTTTAGCTGTGTGGAAATGGTGAGGGGTTGTGAGGTGGGATAGAAACCCACCTGTATTTGTTACTGATGACTTGTTTTGGGAGGATGAATATAAATATGTCAGTAGTGGTTATCTGACTTTCTGGGTGAAATTAATAAGTGTCTTTGTCAAAGCTGCCATCTTTCCTTCCTAAGGTGAGATTCACCTGCATATTTGCTTGTGTTGGAGAATGTGTCGGGGAACACAAGCCACCAGTGTGTTACAATGTTGTTCAGAACACAAGTCACATGCTTCACTGTATGCACTTCACACAATACCACAGTAACATGTCAAAAATGTACATAGATCATATTAAAATACTGCCATAGATACCTCGGTTACTTGTCTTTGTTTGTTATAATGGTGTTGGGTACTTAGTACCTCAGCTGTTATGGTGGCTGTGAGTGAGTGAGTTGAACAAGGCTTGAACAGTATATTAGTTACTAGTACATCACCATGGGTCAGCTGGGTGTGGGAGGAAAGCCCCAAGTGATGCAGGTCTTCCACTTTAATGAAACCCAGGACTGGTATGGTGCTGACAAACCTAGAATAATGTTTTGGAGAAGACAAAAAGTATAATTCAGTCAGAGCTTTGAGACCTACTATTCCTTTCTTGAGAGGGGCCAAACAAATGGTGGAGGGGGAACCAAGTGAACACCTTTTTTAGGTGAAATACCTGCCACCATGGTCTAGTAGTAGAGCGTCCTTGAGAGCGGAAGGTCGGGGGTTCGAATCCCGGCCACATCAATCCAAAAGACGTTAAATGATGGTACTTGTTGTTACCTTGCCTGGCATTTAGGGGTTAAAACAAACACTGGTCGCTCAGAGTCAGTATACTATGTCTGAGTGTATGGTTTATATCATGTCATGCCCTTGCTCACATTGTCAATCACTAGATTGTCTGACCCAGCTTCAAACAACTACTGAATTACAGATCTGGGTGTTGGGAACAAGGGAGGAGGAGATGAACTGAGACTTAAACTGAAGCACATTCATCTTCCACGTGCATGTGTTGAGTCTGGTTCTATATAGGTGTACTGTGTTTGCTACTTGAAGTATTGCAACACGGCAATGAATTAATTGACAGCCATTTAAAGCCATGGATATGTGTCATATATGTGGCCCCAAGTGGAAATGGGGACTCCTGAAGCAAATCTGGCATTCGAGGGGCATGGTTATCTATACACCCTCGTGGAGGAGTTGGGACTGGAGCGAAGACGCCTGCATTGTGTCACAATGTATCACAATATGATTCAAATAATGATTCATTAATCTTATCTCTGACCAAGAATGGTAACAAGCATAAAGAGAGATACATAATTATTTGTAACAAATATTGAAAACTTCATGGCACTACGCACCCTCCGACGGCTGAAACAAAACCGCCATCGGGTTCTTCGTTCTTTTCACCGTGAGCGCCATTTGACAAAATTTGCCACGCTAAAATCCTATGTATTATTATACATGTAAGTTCATCTACTTACTACATGTATATATACACTCAAAATTAACGATGACATGCATATCCTTCGACGTCTTCTGGGTGCTTGATCGTCTCGGAACAGATACCCCCACTTGTCGCGGAATGAGTTTAGAGAAACATGAAGGTACTTCTCATGACGAAGTTTTCTTGCTGATTATTCTTCACCGCCCCGTTAAGATCCAGGTTAGAATTGGTCTCTAGCAACCCTTGCTTGTCGTATGAGGCGACTGACGGGATCGGGTGGCCAGGGACCGGACATGTGTTGATTCATATGTCAATCACTAGATTGTCTAGTCCAGACTCGATTATTTACAGACCGCCGTCATACAGCTGGAATATTGCTGAGTGCGACGTTAAGCAACAAACAAATCAGATCCTCACGATTTTACTCCCCATTCGGGAGTGAGTGAGTGAGTTTGGTTAAACGCCGATTTGACAGCATTTCAGTTATATCAACGGCGTTAAACAACAAACAAACAAAAATTATATCACGGCGTGTCAGCTTACTATGGGAGGAAAGTCCGAAGTGACGAGGTCTCAGACGGTTACCAATTGATGAAACCCACGAGCACGGGTATGAAACTGACCAATCTCTTTAAAATATTTACTGAACAAAGTTCTGAGGACATCCCGTTACGGGTCACGTCAGAACGATCTTTCATCCGACCAATCAGAGCGTCGATTATCAGATCAGGAAGTGACAGTCAGAACTTGTTTTCTGACAAGACCTCGAAAAGGTTAACACGAGGTGTTCTGAATGACAGTACCGGTACGACTGAATCCGTCACAATCACCGTCTGTTTGTCACTTCAATGGGATAAGCATTTGAACGGAAGAGATTGTCCATAGCCCATGGGAAAAAACTGCCATGCAAACTCGGTCATCTATTAGACATTCCAGAATGTTCTTTTGTTCATTTTTTAATTTTTAATCGAGAACTACGTACAAATATTTTTCAAAGCGTTGTCGGGCATGGAGGTCGCCAGTTTAAAACTATAGTGCCGTATTGCTCGAGAAAACTGATTTCTGATTGGCTGATGTCGACTTCTTGTTAGTCATTTCACAGATCTAACAAAGGTCGCGAAAGGTCGTTCTAAGGTAACCTGTTATGGGATGTCCTCAGATTTTTGTTTAGCAGAAGCGAGATCTAAGATCTGATTTGAATGAGATAAGGTGCTGATAAACCTAGAAACAATATCGGGGCGAATCCGGGTTATTATTGGTCCACAGTAGTATAAAGAGAGTCTAACCCTCGTGTCTTTTGATATCAAATATATCAACGAGTGTTGATATATTTGATATCAGAAGACACGAGGGTGAGATTGTATTTATCATCCATCATCCTTCCAACGTTTGCAGTTTGTAGACAATAGTGACAAGCCTTAAGTGTAAAAAGTACTGCTAACAGTTTCAGTAGCATAGCCATTAATGATGTCATTTGATTGTGACGCCATGGTAACCAATGACGTGACAATGGCCTGCAAAGCATTGTGATGCAATTTCATTCCAGCGATATCTACAGTGTATACATATCGCCTGATCTCACCCAAGCGATAACTCTTGTGGGAGCCAGTTTTGGATGATAAATTCTGGTCGTATATACATGAGGCGACCATATCGGATGGTCAGGCTCGTTGACTTGGTTGCTTGCGTGTCTTCGTACCCCGACAACGTGGATCGTTGCGCACAATAACGATCACTTGAAAATCTGGTCCAGAATCGATTATTTACAGGCTGCCGTCATATAGCTGGACTATTGCTGACTGCGGCATTATACAGCAAGCACACAAAATCAAACTCAGAAAACTGGTGTCATTGAGTACACCGAACACAGTTCAACTGACACCATAACTTCTCAGTCAAGAACAAAATCAGTTATCACAATAATACATTTATTCCACCCGCAAAGCAGTATCACATTTAATAGCACCATACAAACATACTATTTATGCATTTTGTCTGAAAGATATTGAGCAAGGTAATCGAATAATGACACAAAAACCGCATAGGCATGTTGGTTCTCATGATCTCACAATGCTACCAGGGGATCAGGCAGTATATAGCATGCGATGCAATCTATATAATATCACGGATGAGGCTAGAGGGGCTCTTTGAGCACCAAGGACGGGAAGAAATTGACGTTACACATCATATAATTCACAGATGAGCTATCTAAAAAGGATTATGCGATGAGCAAATAAATCGAAAATGATTTTTCTACTGTCTCGTCGTGGTCTTGTCTGGTGCTTGTTCGCTACTTTACATATACTACTCAACTTTTGATAGGGATAATCAGATGTCATTCTATTCAAATATAAACTTGACATTATGCAAACTTTAGTGTATCATGGAAAGGTAAAAATACCCCTATCAAAAGTGGAGTAGCAAAATACACGGCGTTAAAAGAACACCCGATCCTTTATTCATATTTAGTTAATCTGGCATGCCACGAAAAGAATGGGGTGTTCTTTACTTTCTTTTGAGTATTATATATACTAGTACATATGCACACGTATGAAACTTTTTTAAGTGTGAGCTTAGTTATTGGACAGTGCTTCTGTTCTATTACAATTCAAAAGAATTATTAATTTTGTGTCAGAGTACGAACCGCGTTTTGGGGGGACTACTAACCACTCGTACAAAAAGGTCAGCAGTGTCTATGATTTTCCCCCCAAAGTAGTAACGCTACATAAAATCGCGAGTTCAATTACGCGGACAAAATTCTTATCTCTCAAGTATCACAGTAAAAGCTAACAAGAAAATCTAACTCTACAAGGTAAACCTTGCTACAAACATACCAGTTGTCGGGTGTATCAAAACAATTGCGCAATTCACAATGCAGAGTTACGTCCCTTATGCATCACAGAAACCTATTTTCGTGGGTTCGAATTACGGCTCGCCCGGATTGTTTCTAGGTTTGTCAGCACCAGCCCGTGCTCGTGGCTAAACCAAAGCAGTTATCGTTCAAAACTTGCATGATTTCTCCCACATCACGATTACACGCGGTGAAATAACTGAAATACTAATCAAAGCAGCGTTAAGCCAAACTCACTGTTGCCCATACACGAAGTGTGATTTGCTTGCTGAAACCGTTATGAGAAGTTAATGAGGTACAAAGCTCCCCAGTCCTGTGTCCATTTACAGTTAAGGTCTGGACGTAACTTGTGAGTGACTTGTGTCAAACTGAGACAATTTCTTTGTTATCAGAATGATTTATGAATTGCGAGACTGATATACCTTATGGAATTATAGTTGAAAAAAACCGTAAGTTTGGGATGACTTTGCTGGGACTCCTGGATCCACTTGCACAAAGCGATCTTAGTGCTAAGACTATCGTTAGCCTATGTTAAAGTATGGGAGTTACAATCATCTTAGCGCTAAAGTCGCTTTGTGCAAGTGGTCATACTCTACGCGGTGCCCAGTAACTTTTTAAAGTGTATGTCTCGCATTAGTAACACCCTTACGGATGTGCTCTGAATGAACTTCACCATCCGTCGAACTGCCATTTTCACTTGGTACAGAATAAATTAATGACAAGTTCTATCAACCGACGCATTCAGTTATTATTGTAAGCGAAGGAAGAAGCGTATCTTTAAATTATATATTTACCGAAATGTGTTATTTGAAATATACCTACATTCAATTGGGTTTATAGTTCGGTTTGGATAAGACTAGCCTCGTCATACCAAAAGACGTTAAAAGGATGGTACTTGTTACCTTCCCGGCGCTCGTCTTTAATAAGCGTGATTAATCAACTGGCAGGCTCGGAGTCAGCGTATTGTGTCTGATTCGGGTAAACTGCGTAATATCTCAGTGAGCTGGCACAATTAAACCGGCACATGTCCATACTAGTAGAAGCTGCCACACACGCACGTGCATATGTCGCTAATGAATATCACCGTCACCCACTCATTTTCCCAGTATTAAGCAAGGCTACATGTTATTTCTATCTCTTGGGCTTAAAAAGTCTGTTAAATCAACAAGCAACCGGTAAAAATTAAAAAAAGGGTCAAGAAGTTGCGGAAGTCACCTCGGTGTCCTGGTAAATGTTAACTGAAATACAAAAATCGCTGTATTGTCCGTAACACAGATCAGATATGTAATACACAACAGTACTATGGCATTCTGTTTGGACTAGCATCTATTTGGGGATCGTTGGTAAACTGTGATTATTCGTTGTCAGATGAACTAGGTTTCAGTCGTCTTTGAATCGATGAGATCATACTGTTAGATTTCTTCACTGGTCTCCGGTGGACAGGCGGTCCGTTGTTTGCATCGTCATCAGAACTGGATGCAACGTGATGATTTGATTCTGATGACGAAGACGTCAGGAAACCCCAGCGATTCCTACGCTTAGGGACTTCTTTGGTGACTGCGGCCGGTTTGCAATCTCTCACAGGTCTTGATGTGTCAATATCAGAGGAAGAGGAGGAAGCTTCCCTGAGATCGTATTCCCCATCCGAGGACGAAAGTGAGAGGAGCGAGGCGAAGAACCGTATCACCTTATTCCTCCGTTTCCTCCTCCTGGGCACACTGGCATTTTCACTATCGTCTGAAAGCTCCTTCTCGCTGTCGGCGTCGGAATCACTACCATACATTGTTTTTGTCTTAGTTCGTTCACTCATGCTGCTTTCCACATCATCACAAAACTCCTCCTTTCTAGTGTCAGTGGTGACCTTAAGACCCTCCTCCGGGACCGGAAGTTCACCATCTATAGGTGTGTACCCACATGCTCCTAGGAGCTCCTGGTCTTGGTTTTTTGTTGCCTCGTGTTCAGGATTTTCGTCAGGTGGTTCTTCTTTTTTTAACTGAAACAGCAGATCAAGTGAGGATATAATCCACCCCGCAATATTCGCCAAACATAATTATCAAATGAGTATCTACGAATGTGTGAATGGGTTTTCTGGAGTCAAAATCACTTCAGTCGAAGTCTTAAACCCTGTATCGTCACTAGTAATGACGAGTGATGTTTGAACTACAACTCCTACAAAGATTGTGACATTTTCTGAACATTTACTAACCTACACACGTACACACTATATATTTACAGGTACGCCGTAACATAGCTGGAATATTGCGGAGTGCGGCGTTAAACAAAAAACATACGTTCAAGACCAATCTTACAAACAAACCTCGTTTTGATTCTCAAAGTCCTGCATTTTCTTGAAGACATCTACCAACTTGGAGAGTTTGAAGTCCACCGGAAACGAGTCAGCGCCCTCTGACGTGGCGTCCAGCATGTGCCGACATTCTGGACAATTGACTGGTCTGTGGTGACCAGTGACAATGTCCTTCTGAGACTGCTGACCGATGAAGGCTTGTAGACAGTTTCTGCAGTAGGAATGGCCACACGGTAGCCTCAACGGCCTTTGAAAAAGTTCCATGCATATTGGGCAAGTAAGTTCACCCTTCAGATCTGTGGCCATGGTAACAGCGGCCTAGTCACGATTCCTGTAAATCATTACAAGAATCATATAAATCGACTATTTTTGGTAAGACGTATATAGCCATATGGCTACAAGTAAATGGCTACAAGTAAAATCAAGAAGTCAAGCCAATATTAAAGGTAGCCAAAAGCATTTGAAATTATCTTTATAAAATAACTATTATAATATGTACAAGTCTTGAAATTGTACCTAATGGAAACTGTACATGATTTTTTTTACTTGTGACTTGAACAATGATGCAATTTATGTCACCAGATTATATAGGTATATCCTCGCTTATCCAATGAGCATTGTCAACTAAAGTAAAGTACTAATTACATTAATTTTTATGTATTTTAGTTCATTGTCGACTTTTGAAGGAATTATTCCTGAGTCCAATTATTAGCACACGTGTTTTCCAATATCAGCTGTTATTTATTTTTGTGTCTACAGATGTGTAGCAATAGAATCTAGTCGCCACAAGATATTTTTCTAGGTAGTCATTTGGCTACCTCTGAATTTTAGACAGTAGATAAACTGAAATTTAGGTCGCATTGGCTACCGTTTTAGTTGCAACTTTGAGGCCTGCAATTTCTAAGCTTATATTCTTTTTGTGATCAAGATTGGTACATTATGAATATGTAGGTATTTACCTCTACAACAGCGCACTAGTCCAACATACTAGTCTACGTATAGTTGTGGTGACATCAATATCGCTAAACTGGAAAACGGAGACACCTGGAGACATTTTGTTCCTCGGTGTCGTAGATTTGTTAATCAATGAATTAACGTATTCAGGGCTGACCATCTGTTGTTGAGGGGTGAGGAGACTGGGCATGCACATGTGTGATTACTATAAGCGTGTGACCTTAAATATGATATAGGTGTGATGCGAACTGTAAAAACTTGGTATTGTAGGTGAACACTGAGTCTGTGACGTATTATATTAAACACATTAAACTTAAATGTGTCTCGTGTTAGTTTGAACAAAACTGACATGATGACACGAAGTCAGCATGGTAACAGCATAATATTTTGTTTTTGTTTTGTTTTTGTTTAACCCCGCAATATTCCACCTCTATGACGGCGGTGTGTAAATAATCGAGTCTGGACCAGACAACCCAGCATCCTGTAAACCTCTTATGACATGCGTGCAACTCAAGTAAAATAGTTGGGGGAGTCACACTACTAGCGAACTGCTCACACTGCTCGCCTTGTCAGCTGCTTACTGTTTCGCTGGATCAGGGTCAAGGACGGACGCAGGAACTTAGCTAGTGGATTCAATAACATTGTGCAATGTGTGTGTGTGTGTGTGGGGGGGGGGGGGGGGGGGGGGGGGTTACAGGCTGGACGCCCATAGAGATTATGTGTTTCTGCTTCTGTGAGTAGGTCAAAACAAAATGTGATAATGGACGCACTTTAGGTACAGCTCCAGTGAAACCTACACGTTAGGTACTGACAAACCAAGGTTAAACGAGGCCGATATGAATGCGAGATTCGAACACACTGCCACACGTGGTTATTAACATTTATACATTAAAAAGACAATTCGGAGAATACACACAGCTAAACCACAGTCATATAGCTGATATACTTTCATAATTCCCCATAATCAGTGTGTTAAATTGACACATACGTCATAGTTTCCATCTGTTTAAAACAAAGATGTTTGTGAATCCAGTACACATTCAAATACAGTTTGATAACGCTTATCTCGGTAAATTATGTCTCTTACACATACTTTGTTCATTGTTGAATGCCACACTCAGCAATATTCCAGCTATATGAAAAAATCGAGTCTGAACCAGACAATTTTTTTAATCCACTGACTGACATCATGAGCATGGATCTACGCAACTGGGATACGATGACATGCAGTCAGCCAAGTCTGACCACCCGATCCATTTAGTCGCCACTTACGACAAGCCAGGGGTGCTGGGGATCTATATATACACTGTACTTACCCGGAATCCCCACGGGTACTTACACTCATATTATATCTGGGAGATCAAATATTTATTTTAAATGTAATCTGTACTTATGACACACTTGATCCAATAATATAGGTGAGTAGAGTTTGAAATGAGAGCAAAAAGTATAGTATCCAGACGTTCACAAGTAAGGCTCGTGTTCACACAAAAAAATCACTTAATTTAGTACTTAAATTCAGTCTTACGTCACGTTTCCACAGAACAGTGAAGTGGTAGACCTTATACTGAAATTCACATTTACAATTGGCCCAATTTGGAAAGTCCTGTCTATAAAATCTACTCGTGCCCATATAAAGGTAGACTGGATGAAAACAGACCAGGCATTAAATATCAAGGTACAATATAAATATACTAGCCTCGAGATGGCCCACGTGTGAGGCTGATGCTAACGGTCAACACCCAAGTATTTATTACAGGTAAACAAATCAAGCTGGTCCATAATAATACCATAAAAGATAAAATATAGCCTGCTATTGTTTACGCCATCAACAACGTATGAATCACCGTCACGGGGAGAATGCGTCATCCAGCTGTCATAGTCAGCTTACCTACACACAGTACTTACCGTGTCACGTGACCCACAGTCTCGTCTGTTCTCTCGATCACAAGAGTCGACAACTTCCTCCCTTCAGTAATTATCCAGCAAACATGCTACATGGCTACTGTGAGAGTAAACTTACTTGTCTATGGAGTAATCATCTCGATGAAACACAGGTATCGACGTTTTATCAATCGTAATTCTATCTGAGCGGACAAGCTGAATATTTTCGACAACCTACGCAAATCCGAGTACGCTCCGTAGCAGTTATCGCCCTTATCCGTTCTTTTAACACTAAGATAAGTGAATAGTTAGTGGGTGTCTTGTGAAAGCTTTCTAGTGGGGTCAAAGGTTACCGGTGCATACAATGATCCAAATCGTATTAAAACGAACATTGAATCGGTTTTCTGAATTATAGTTCTAGCAAGACTGAACTAAACAACAACTGATTGGATTATCTCACGCATGTTTCGAATCAATTCCTGTTAACTGAAAAAAACATACATATAAATTTGTGTTCAAGATATAAATATTATTCTTTACATGTAAAAATAAATTTGCGTTGCATGAAATGAAGTCATTTGATCATGAAATGTAAGTTTGTTTGTTTGTTTGTTGTTTGTTTGTTTGTTGTTAAACACCACACTCAGCAATATTCCAGCTATATGGCGGTGGTCTGTAAACAAACAGACAATCCAGTGATTGACATCATGAGCATCGATCCACGCTATTGGGATACGATGGCATGCATCAACCAAGTTAGCGAGCCTGACCACCCGACCCCGTTAGTCGCCTCTTACGACAAGCATAGTGTCCTCTTACGACAAGCATGGGTTGCTGAAGACCAATTCTAGCCTGGAATCTTCACGGGACAGCATGTACTGTATGTACATGTAGTATATCTATTATAACATACATACATACATACATACATACACACACACACACACACACACACACACACACACACACACACACACACACACATACATACATACATACATTTGATGTTCTGTTTTAAAAAAAAGAAGTGTATGACATTTTTACAACCAAACATATATAACTTCTTTGATTGGGATATTCAAACATATAATTTCAAACATATATAGTTACATAGGTCTTGGCAAGTGGCAACTCGCAGAGCACCAACGTTCGATTCCCATATTGATACAATATGCGAAGCATTTTATGTGGTGCGTATTCAGTGGAATATTGCTTTATGCGACAAAACACATAGTCACGCATTCAATACACTTGAACATTAATCAACCCATCGCCATATATTCACAGACGAATAAACAAAATCGATAGATGTCCCTTACGATCAACTTTGTTGTGACTAATAGGTCGATAATGGCGAAGCCATTGTGACATGTATAAAAGAATTCCAAAGTTCCGAAGTTAAAAAGGAATATGGCACAACCATCTGAAAAAATAAAGGGTAATGCGTAACAGATTGCACTCAGCCCGCTTTGATGACTAATTATTAAAAAGTTTTATAGGTGCTCGGGCAACTAGGCCCATTAAGCCTTGCTCATGATAAAGGTTTGCTGAGTACCTAGATAGTTCATAGAGTGGTGAAACTGCCTCACGCTTTAATATAGGCAAGAATGACATTCTGAACGTCATAGCGAACGATATTTCCAGGACATACAAGTCCAGCCAATGAGAGGTAAATATTGAGAACTGTGAGAGAATCCACCAATGCATTGCGCTGATTTACATATTTTTGGCAATGGAGTTAATAATGAGCTACATTATCAAGCTGATTACACACTGTACACTGTGCAGAAATGTCCTTATTAATAACGTTGAGATAAGCACCAAGACCACAATGCAGCCCGCTTCGGATTACTTAGAGTGCTCTCCCCTGTTCGTAGCAGACGACCAACTTGATCATGGCACGCAAGTAGGACCTGTTGTAAGTTGCATTTCACTGTGTGTATTCCTTATATGTTACCTACAACTAAAATTAATACGAAAGCATGCATAGATATGTAGAAATGTTTCTGTGGGTTCCTTACTCCTTCCAAACGAGTTTCCCATTTCATATCATATTTATGTCCCGATTGGACACTGTGAAAAGAAAGATTTGTACTAGTCCGGACTAATGCCGATTTTATGGTGCAAAACCGCAGTTCAACTAGAATACCACACTCAGACACTGAGCCGACCAGTCCTTGTTTTAGCTCCTTAATGCCGAGAGACAGGCAGGGTTACAACAAGTACCATCTTTTAACGTCGTTTGGTATGACGCAACCGTGGCTCTACCCCTAGATCACGGAGGCGATCAGATATGAGACGGGTAACGAACTAGTTTGGTACGATCCCATTTATTACCAGGAAAGGATGAATTTTAATCATTATATCAACAACATTACGCGATGTCCATAAGCTTATAATGGGAGCAAGTGCATATGGGACACGTGAAGATCCGGGGTAGAATAGGTCATCAGCAACCCATGCTTGCCGTAAAAGGCGACTATGCTAGTCGTAAGAGGTGATTAACAGGATCGGATGGTCAGGCTTGCTGACTAGGTTGATGCATGTCATCGTATACCAAATGCGTGGATCGATGCTCATGATGTCGATCACCGGATTGTCTGGTCCTGACCCGATTGTTCACAGACCGCCGTCATATAGCTGGAATATTGCTGAGTGCGGCGTTAAACAACAAACAAAAAACAAACAAACAATAACTACATGTATTTACCAAAACTAGGCTAAGCTTGGGGCGCGAACACCAATTGTGAAACCAGTTTCATTGTAAACATGGAGTCCAATCCGAACACCCTTGAGAACTAAATACCGTTGAAGTATTCGTGAAATTAGAGGTTATGGCCTAAACATATCACATAATCACGTTTAATTTCCTTTTTATGATTTTGTGTTAAAATCGATGAAGCAATTGACACGTGTGTTCAATGACAGCGCCATAACAAGGAGCAAACAGCCCTATCAATGTTATTCGTGGGATGATTATCGTCGGTTTTAGACGTTATCACATGTAGAATTTCATTACCGTAGATGAGCGAGCGGTACTGTGACAAAGTACAAATGGCAGCATGTAATCTTATATGAAAGTGAGATTCAACTGTTGAGTCACTCCATCTATCTGACTGGAGTTATAAACCACATATAATTTAGTTGGTATAATAACCTCATTAGCATCGGTAAGTACCTTAAGTTTAGCTTACGTTTACGCAAATTATATATTATAAAAAGTGTTGTTGTTGTTATGTTTGTGTGTGTGTGTGTGTGTGTGTGTGTGTGTGTGTGTGTGTGTGTGTGTGTGTGTGTGTGTGATAGTTTATTTTGCTATCCGTGATCGTTCATAGTTAAATCCCTGAACATCTGTTCATCTATTCTACATGTCCACACAAAGTACAATTGGTCAGTATTCCCAAAAATGAGCTAAAATCAATTACATATAAAACATAAAAAATAGTATATCTGAAATGGAAAATCATACCATATATATTAAAACAGTCAGCGCTTTATCAGGCAAAGTGCGAGCCACTGTAGGCGCCATTATCAATCACGATGTTATTATGACGTCATGGCTGCCGTAATTTGTGTACTGGCGTCTGACTTGTATCGGTACGGCTCTCTCGACTCGGGTGAAAGAGCGAGTGCTTAAAGGGGCACTGATTAAACGCAATTCCCCGGACTGGTTGTTGCCTTTGTTATTGTTTTTTCCCCGTGAGTACCCGGATGATACGCAACTGAGCGTGACCAGAGACTGGGCTACCGTCTGCAAGGACAGCTAAATTAACTTAATTAGAGGTTGGAGGCAATATTTGTTTTACGCATTTTTGAACACTGATTGGTTAACCGTGATCTATAAAGATTTCGACAAAGGGCGCATGTTAATTAATTTCTTCAGCCTAAACAAACAGACAAAAAGAACGGCGGAGCTCATCGGATGTCATCATTTGGAAATACCCCAGATGGTTATAGTTTAATAATAAAAAAAAAAATTCCATGCAGTGAAAGCATTTTCGGTTTTCGGATTGCGTCGATAACACGATTACTACTCCCTTGTTGTCATCCCCGTGTTCTGATATAACCCTACACTTGTGTATTTGTCGTTATTCACTTGATGCTCAGTTAATGAATTTATTACAGGTACAATTAGTGGTGGCGCAAATTAGATTACCTGACAAAGGTTCCCATTTGGCATTTATTGTGTCTGGGGTAATTATTCAATCTAAATCCAGGTTTGAAGTAAGGTGAAATGTGTGTTGTGTAATATGCACGTGGCAGCCCAGCAAGAGGTGAATGGTCAGTTGATTTACTTTTTTTGTAAATCAACGGATCGTTCGTAGTCATCAAAGGATTAACAGAAATACGTTGATTGATTAATCACTGTTATCTTGCACAGTGGATATGTCAAAAGTGAGTGTTTACATGTCTAGGTTTACTAATTAAAACAAAGGGAATACACTCATATCATGGCGTGAAGTGCCGATGTAAAGATAACATACTTTGTTCAAAGGGTTAACTGATAATACGTTGATTGATTGCTCATTGTTATCTATCAATCAGTTGTTTTTTTAGGAACCGTGGACGTTATGAAAATAGTTGTCACGTGGGCTTTCTCAGCCGACCCTTGAGACTTGACACCTATGTGAAACACCTGAAACAATCTAAGTGATCAGTTGAGAAACGAACACGGATTATAATATCCCGAAACGAAAATTATCTTTTAAAGTATTTGATTGTTACAGAGACACGTGACATCGAATAAGTTTCTTTGTACAGCTGCAGATGAGTGGCAAATTGCTCCTTTGTGTGGATATTCACGGATACATTCCTCGAATAAGGAAGCTGCCTAGAAATTATATACATTTGGTATAAATTTGGTAGGTTGTAATTATGGTTTTTGCATTTTGTTTTCCTTCAATTCTTCAATGCGCGATAGACGTTGTTTTCACAAGCCTTCTCCTTTGTAAGCGTGTATATATTACCGAATTTGTAAAATGTGATTCTCTCAGGCAATTTATAAAATGTGTAAATATTTCAGTCATTTTGACGGGAAAATCTGTCCAGATTAACTTAAATTGATTAAGACGATCAAAAGGGCCTAAAAACATTACAACAGATTAGTATGTAGGATTTAGAAACCAAACAACATAGAAATGTACTTTTCAACGTAACATTTTCAGTCTCTTGGTGATGACATTAAACATCAAAATGTTTGGAATTCGTTATCATAATAATACAGATGGAAATATTTTTCAGTCACTTTGTAAAATAACTGAATATTTAGGCGTTTAATAAATTTGAAAATG